TCCGTGGAGAGAGAGGGGGGATGTCCCCCGGAGTCAGGAGCCGCAGGCCATCCTCCAGACCTGGGAAGCGGTGGAGGGCCCAAGCGGCTCAGAGGAGGGGCAGGGAGGGGGTGGAGACTGGCCAAGGGCTGAGGTAAGCTAGAGCTGTAGGACAGCTTGGAAATTTTCCATCCAAATGTTTTTTCAACAGGAAAACTTGGGTTTTGACTAATGGAAATGCTGGAGAAAGGTGTCTGCTTTCCTCCGCACTCCTGCATTGCATCCGAAACAAAAAAGAGCTGGCCAAAACCAAGCCTATTTCCAGCAGCTTTGGACCAACACTTTTCATGTTTATGGTCTTCAGATTGGCAACAAAACTTCCATTTTCCCACAGAAAACGTCAATGAAAACAAATATTTTTATTTTCACTGACAGTTTTTGTTGAAAACCCACCCCCCATTTTCCAGCCAGCACCACAAAGCGCCAAGGGGGGCCCTGAATGAGCAGGGAGCCAGTGGACTTTGAGGACTGCACATGATGTGGCCAAGGGGTGGGCTACAGTTTTCTGCTTTCCTTGGCGATTGCAAGGCCGGCATGTGAAGTGGGGCAGCGAGTCAGACGGGGGTGTGGAGGGCAGTCCCAGAAGAAGTATGGCATCATAGGCATGCGCAGCACATTTCATTAGGGTGTGCACCCAGGGAATTTTCTTTTTTAAAGGCGAACATTTATTGAATACTCAACCATAAAGGACATGATTTTTATTCATCAAACAAACTAAAGAAACTAAAACTTAACTAAACTTAATTTTTTTAAATTAACAACTAAACTTTACTTAAAAATACAAACGTAAGTATGGGACATTGTACTACTTAGTTCGTTTTTTACATGTGCAATTCGGTGCTTATTGCATAATACAGCAATCCATACTTTAAAACTAAAAGAGCGTATCATGCAATTAAATTAAAATGCAAAGCTACTTTTTTGGAGACATTATAGGGTTACCAGGTAGTCTTAAAAAAATACCAGACACACTTCATGGGACGGGGAGGAGGGAGGGACTGGCCGGGGGGGAAGCGGGGCTGGCCAGGGGAGGGGTGGCCGGCAGGAAGCAGAGCTGGTCG